CGTGTTGTTCACAAGCCTAGAAAAATTATTTTTTTCGAAAAGACAAGCTATGTGAGGGCTACCTATTCTATGTACAGGCATTCAGAATGAAAAAGATAGAGGCAGAGGTCAGATCCAAATTCAAATTCTGTGAGCTTAAAAAGTGAAGAGAAGGGAAATGTTATTGCACACATATTCAAAATGCTACAGAGCTACAATGCTACAACAATCTATACATTTGCTGTGGGAAAGGGGGAGAGGAAGAAAAGACCAGTGTAAGTAACCCCAACCACATAGGATTAAAGCACAACAGACCTTTGTTTCAAGACCTGAACTTCTGTAATGAGTCTCATGCAACAGATTACCCTCACAAAAAATAAACAAGAATGTGGGAAATACACACACACACACACACAGAGAGAGAGAGAGAGAGAGAGAGAGAGAGAGAGAGAGAGAGAGAGAAACCATGCACTGATGATTAAATGATTGTTTTCTGGATAGTTCCATGCAATAAACATTGGCCAATCAGCACTGAAAGGGGTACCTGAGCAGCCTCTGTCTTAAGAAAAAGGATTGGTGGGGAAAAGCCCTGTAAAGGAGGCAAGGGGTAGGCTCCCTAAAGACCTCATCTGAAGATACTGCTCTTGTGTTTTAAAAAAAAAAGGCTAGCTTGGGATGAAGGGAAGGGTTGATGCAAACAAAGAACTGTTGACAGTGGTCAGACAGTAGCCAGTCCCCAGTAAAATTCCTCTCTTCTTCATAGCTCTGAACAGTAAAACAATGCCTACTTTTTGACTTTGGTTGGGCCCTTTGAGAATTCCCTCTCCTTGAGTGGATTTCAGTGACACATCCCTGGTGAACCGATTCAAAATTTGGTCAATAAGCCAATTTTTTTCCGGTTAGAGAGATTCTAGCTGAGGCTCTTTCCCTACCGTCGTTGGATGCTGAAACCAAGTTACCCGCCATTTTCTGTCCAGACCTACCGCCCTTGCGCCTTCTAACCTCAAGCATGACCAGATCTCCCACCCCACCCATCATACTGAGGTTCCAACAAAAAGACGAGCCCTAGAGAAGCTTCCCCCTCCCCCCGTTTATGAGACCTTAAGAGCTCCGGGAAAGAAGCGACTTCATCCCTGATTATTTTGTTTCAGGGCTTTCATTTTCTCATGGGTGTCAAATTCGATCGCGTCACGTGACGCATCGCGACAGGTTTTTGCCTTTGCCGAGCCGGAGTGGGCGTGGCCTGTGCGTGACGCATCCGGCCCGCGGGCCGCCTGCTTGACGGTTGAACATTCAAAACTGCCCCCTCCCCCACCACATACAAAGACCAAGTACCAGGCGCTTCTTTCCCTCTCGTGCCTCGCGCCCTCTTTGTCCCTCGATCTCCAAAAGGCTCTGCAGGGGTGGGGCGGGAATGGCTTCCGGATAAATGTCTCTATTAATGAATTATTAAGTTCGCTCTCCTGACCTTAAAAGTAGGATGAAGAGGCGCCCAGGGCTGGAAAGGAAACTGCTGAAGCCTTTATCGGTCTCCTGTCAGAGGCACTCGACCATTTGTCTTCCCCATCAGATTGGGAGAATTAATTAATATGAAAAGAAACTTTTTTAATTGCGTGTCAAACGAAATCAGATAAGGCCTTCCCGATTCAATGCCTTTTTTTGCGGTCTTCGTTTTGCCCAGCTTATGTTTCCTTGCTTTCTCAAGAAGAAAGCATTAAGAGGGGGGGAAAAGAGGGGGGGGGCAGAAGATATGCAATATTCCCAGGGAAAAAAAATGATGGATTTGGGCAGTTAATTTATCGATTCTGGCTCCTCTTCCTGCTTGTTTTATTTTAGAGGTCATTAATCAATGAAGAAAAACACCACTGCATTTCACCTTTTTTGCATGTAATACACTTCGCCTTTCCTTATTTATTTCTCTGGGAATGGATTCCTAACAAATATTCACCAATCGATTTGGGGTGGGCGGTGGATTTTTTTTATCAAAAGTGCGATCGCTTTCGAGAGGGTCGATGTGATTTGTTTTTCTCTTCGCTCTATAAATAATAATCATTAAAAAAAAAAGCCTGATGAGAAGGCGAGGGGCGGGGAAGGGTGGGCGCGTGCCTGTGCCGGAATACTAAATCTGCGCGGGGGGGCGGGGGGCAGAGAGCTCCTCCTCACGACCTCTGTAAACCCAGAAGCCGCTTTCTGAAAAACCAGCAAAGGGGGAAACCCCCAAAAGCTCAGGGTGAGGCTTAAGAAAAGGAAGAAAAGAAAACAGAGTCTTAAGTGAGGGTGGCCTGGCCTGAACTGGAGCAAAGAAAGGGGGCTCCCTCCTTGCTCGCACTTTGGGGCTGGGTTTTGGTTCCGGCGACTCATCGCGTTTGTTTTTTCCGGAGGTCCAGTATCTCCCACACCTACACTCCCACACTTCGGCGCGTTTACCAGAGCAACTGCTCCACCTTCTATCCAAACCCTTGAGACCCCCTCCTCGCCTTTACCATGGCCTCCCCGGACGCTGCTTAGCTTCTGTTGAAGCCGAGATACAGACGGCTTTGAAGAAGTAGGGAAGGGAAAGGGAAAGACCCTCCTGGCCTTTCCCCGTCCCAGGTCGCCCAAGATGGACTGCAGTTCCTCTCATCCCCCGCCAGCATGCCTAATGAACTGCTCAAAGTAAAGGGGGGTGAAAAAACTTTATAGCCCAGAGGCAGCCTTGGATGTGGATGTGTGTGTGTGTGTGTGTGTGTGTGTGTTTTAAACAACAGCCATCGAAGGTGGGAAGATCCGCGCCTCTGCAGGCCGGCGCGTAAAAGAAGTGAGCGTAGTTGGGGGAAGGGGACACTGCTAAATCTGGCATTGATCCTTCAACCTTCAGGTTGGATCGCGGATCATCTTGCAGCGCTTCCCCCCCTCCCCAAATGGTTCCGTGGGATTTTCTCTTGCGCCAAGACCCTCCGGTTCTTCACATCTCCAGTTCTCCAGCTTCACCTGGAAGACAAATGGAGCTATTGACCTTCCTTTCTCTTGTCTGACCCTTTTTCTGCCCCACTTGCAAGTTCGGTTGGTTTCCTCGCATATTTTTTAAAATCGTTGTTATATTGGGAGAGGCAAGGCGTTTGCAATAGGGACCGTAGAGGTGGACTTGGACTCTTGCTTTCGAGTGAATTGAAGTTCAAGTCTCAATTTACTCGAAAGTAATTTTCAATTCCCATGACCATCTAAGGAGTTCTGCGCTCTTAACCGTCGAGAAAAGAACCTCCTTGAGTTCTGTTCTCGACTTTTAATAGCTCTTCTTCCGCTTTGCTCTCTAGTTTGTCCCTTTTCACATTGATCTAAAACCACTCTCCTCCAGTGCTGCAAAGGGCAACACTGTATATCAGTATCTTTAAAAGGCGATGGCCGGAGAAGATGCAGCGAGAAATCGTTGTCCCAATCAAAGGCAACGAGGCTAGCGATCCATTTGGTATCTCCGAAAGGGGTTTGGCACTGGAGAGCAGACTTTGGTTCTTTCCCTCGCTCGCCTCCTCGATTGATGTTTGTTTTTAACTTAGGTGTTATCAATCTGTCCCGAAAAATGATGGATGACCTTGTCACAAGGTCGCCAGTCAAAACATTTCTTTTCGCTTGTAGCCTGAGCTACAAATCTGTTCAGATTTCCCTTAGACGCAGACAAAAACTAAACAACCAGAATTCCCAGGCTCCCTCCAAAAGAGCCAAGGCGACAAATGTCAGAGAACCAGTTGGGCAAAAATGGATTTATGAAAAGGATTCTAGAGTGAGAAGGACGTCTTGGAACAGCATTGTGCAGGAAGAGAAAAGTTAATTTACTTCTGGTTAATTACTACTCATAGTTTTAACCCAACTGCCTGCAAGTCTTCCCCGGTTGTGGAAGCTTCCCGACTCCTAGGGTAGAATTCCGTTCCCGTAATGTACGGCTGAAATAATAAGGCTGGATAATTCTCTCCGATTATCAGCTAATTGGTAATGCCTTCAATTTTATATTTAACCAACCTGACCCAAAGATTAAGGCGTGAACTTGTTCGTCATCCAATTGCCTACCCGTCCACGCACAATTAGATACGACCGTCGGTTCCCATTTATTTGGGGCAGAAAAAACAGGGAAACGCTTTTCCAGTGCTTTTATAACCACACCAGTTTCTTAGATGCTGGTGAAAAATATTGCGGGGGTGGCCATACAGACAACTCCGGCCATAGAGACAACTCCGTCTGGGAAAGGAAACCCCACGTTGTACAAAAAATGCCCGTCCATAAAGGTTAGTCTCGCGTGGCCAACCTGAACTTGAAGGCTCGGCCGAGGTGTGGGGCCCCAGGCTCTTCTTGGCAACCCATGTAAGGACTATGAGAAAACAAGCAAGCTCTGAATTGTTTCGAAAATGGAGCTTGACTTTAGCGGAAGGTCGGAAAATGGGAGTGGGATTAGGAGGACGTGTGTGCGTTTGTGTGTGTGTGTGTGTGAGAGAGAGAGAGAGAGAGAGAGAGAGAGTCAAAGGCCAAGGATGTCAGCATCTCCTCCCTGACGCCACTTCAAGATCAGCGAAATGGCCCGTTCACACGCCCAGGGAATCCGTTTTTGCTTCCCGCCGATTTCGTTCTCCACGAGTTTCCCCTTCGGGGCGGCCTTGCTCTTTCAGGAAGCCGCCGGGTCATCTTGCTCTTTTCCCGCAACCGAGAAAGTCCCCAGCGGCGACCGAGCTCTCTCCAGCTCCCCGTGCAGCCCGCGTGCCCGGTCCGGTTTTCCACCTCGAGAACTTGCGAAGGAAGCGGCGGCGGCGGCAGCTGCAGCGCTTTCCCTTCGGCTCCGCACGGTCGCAACTTCAGCCGACCCCGGAGGCGGGATGGGTACGCGCACGCGCGTCTTTGTGCGGACCGTTTTGCTGGGGGGGGGGAAGAGCGTGGAGAGCCGGGAAAGGAGCGCGCGGGCTTCTCGGTCCCAGATCCGCCACTTTCTCCGCTCCCGCTCCCCCTCCTCCCCCCCCCGCCCCGCCGCGCTTATGTTTGATGCTGTCGTCAAAGCCACGTGTCTCGCCCAAAGGCGGCCAGCGCGCGGAACGCTGCGGAGAGCCCAACAGCCTCCGCCGAGCAGTCACAGCCAGAGCGCGCCCGCCGGCCAGCGAAGAGGCCAACCGGTCTCCCTTCCGGACAGCCGGCCGCCCTCCGGCCTCGGCGGCTTCTCGCCTCCCTCCCGGCCCAGGTTGTCGGACATCGAGCTCCTTCGTCCTTTCGCCTCGTTTGGATCCGCTGGGACCCCGAAGAGTTCTCCTCCTTCTCGCCTCCTCCTCCCCCTCCGCGCAGCTCAGGTACTAGGAGAGGCCGGCCGCCGGCATCCAGGCGGGGGCTTTGCCCGTCGGGGCGCTGGGCTTCCTGGCCGCCCGCGATCGGATGAAGTTGGCTTTCCGGCAGCCAACTTCTCGCCGGGACGCTGCGGCTCGCTTGCCTGGAGATTCGCGGGCTCAGCTCCTTCCCTTTCTCCCTTTCCCTTTCGGATGGCGTTGGGGAAATCAGTGGGGAGCGCGGGGCGGCCTCCCTGGGTTGGAGGCGCAGAGGTCGGATCGGGGGGGATGCGGTAGGGTGCGCGGAGGGGCGGTGGGAAAGGCGGCGGGGATAAAGCGGACGACTACAACCCGGAGGAGCGGGACGTTTGGGGAATTCTAGGGGGTGGGGTGGGGGAGAGGAGAGGAGAGGAGAGGGGAGAGGTCAAAGCCCCCGGGCTCCTCCTTCCCTTTTCCCCCCCTCCCTCGAAAGTTGGGGTCTACCCTGTCAGGCTCTGCGCCTGAACGACCCTCCCCAGTTCTCAATGGTGCCGGGAAAATCTTGGATGGGCGCTCAGTAGTAAAAGACCCTCACTTCTCTCCCGCCCGCGCTTGTCCGGGGGACTGAGACCCACCTGGCTGACTAAAATCCCGGCAGAATCTCTCAGCTCTCTCTACCCCCCCCTCCTCCTCCCCAGGCTCGCAGAGATGCTGAAGCCCGGCGATCCCGGCGGATCAGCTTTCCTCAAGGTGGACCCGGCTTACCTCCAACACTGGCAGCAGCTTTTCCCGCCCAGCAGCCAACTGAAAGGCGGCGTGGGGCTGCTGGGCCATCCCCTCCAGCCGCCCGAAAGAGCCGTCGACCCGACCTGTGACAACCTCCGGCAGCTCCCGGCCTCTCTCGCTTCGTCCACCTCTTCATCCTCTTCGTCGTCGTCCTCCTCCTCCTCCTCCTCTTCTTCCACTCCTTCGTCCGCCCCGTCTTCGTGCGTCGCCGCCGCCGCCTCCCTGGCCAGCTTGACTTCGCTGCCGATGGCGCAGATCCCTGTCTTCGGGCCGATCCAAAGCTCCGATCCAGCGACGGGAGCCCCGGTCTCGCTCTTGCAGACCAAGGACTTGGGAGGGGGCGGCGGCAGCCTGGCCAAGTGCAGCGAGAGGGGGGCGTCCAGGTTTCGCTGCACCGCCGAAGAACTGGACTATTACCTCTACGGGCAGCAGCGCATGGAGATCATTCCCCTCAACCAGCACACCGGGGACCCCAACAATCGTACGTACCCACTGAGTTTTCTCTAGGCACGACGCAGGCCTTTGGGATGGGGGGGGGGTTTCCTTGCTTTTCTCAAGGGCTTTGAGGCCTCCTATCCGAATTTGTTCCTCCACACAGCCGAGCTCTCAGGCAAACTTGTACAAGTTTTACTCAGAAATAAATTTGCCGATTTTTTTGCGAATAGGCTGGTAGAGAATTTCATGTAGCCAGGATTACAATAACAATTGCTACCATATAGGACCACCCCAAATCCACCCTTAAATGAGACGCATAGGACCCGACGTCCTAGATATCTGAAATATGCCTACAGTTTACTTTAAATTAAGCAGGTCGGAAAGAAGCTTCAAACTGGCCCTTTTGGCCTTTGCATTTTGGAGGGCTCCCAGCAGCCAACGGGACTCCCTTCCCCAAAGTTTCATGAACTTAAGAAGTAAGCTTAAATTAAATCGTAGAAAGGATTTTTTTTTTTTTTTTTGCCACAAGTGTTCTCTGGAAAACATAGTTAGACCCCCAATAGATTGTTTATCAAAGCCTTACCTTACTGTAACTTTCTTGAAAATGAGTGCTTTGTATTTGATTTTATTTACTTTCAAGGTTTTCTTCTTAATGGTGTAGCAAGAGAGTTGGAAAGACTTTGTCCGCCCCTATACTGAGAATACAGTTAAGGAGAAAGAAATTTAACTTTTTTCATTGGCTTGTTTGGAAATATCATACACCTTTCATTCTTATTGGGTTTTCCTCACTAGTGTCCAAGCTGTTTTATAGGAAGTTAGTTTTCAAAAGTATAAATGTCAGAAGTATAACTGAGTTTCAAAACTCAATGGGGAATTTCAGAATGGATTTTTAAATTAAAAGAGTAATATTTATTTTATCAAAAACACTGGTTGAATTCTTTTTTGATAGTTTTTCCCCCCAAAAGGATACATATTTTGACAGAACCCCTTTGTTTCAGGATTGTAGCTTGCACTGCATTTGCTTGCACCATGGATGGCATTTGAAATTGTTTAAAATCTTTTTAGTTATCTTAAATGACAACATAATGAAAGCCTACAAATAATACATGAAAAATATATATGAGGAAGTACAATATAGTTGTAGCTTTCCTTTCTCCTAATAAATTAGTTGTTCTTCAACCCAGTGAAACATTCTACTTCAAACTGTATGACTTACACCTTTGCTATATTTCCATGGAAACAAATGCAAGCAAGTTAGGAGAGTAATTAATTTTATTTGGGGCTTGAATGGGTATAGATCTGTGTGGCAGAAGAATCCGTGTAAAGTCTGAGTAAGAATACTTTAATTCAAACATTAGAAACCTCATCAATATAATTATGGTTTAAATAGCCAGGTTGGTGGGACAGAAAAGTAGCAATCACTCAAACAGATATTTCCACTTGGAACTAAAACTTCCTTCCAAAGTTGCAGAAATTTCCCAGTTTCCCATATAGCTTATTGTAATAACAAGATTACACTTGCACTGAATTTACATAAAAGTGAATGTCTTTAGAGATCAGAGAATTGAAACAGCTACTTGGAAGGAAGCCCCGGATTGCATAGGGCTCAGCAAGTGCGGAGGTGAGCCAAATCCGACCCATGTTTACTCTAAATTTAGGGAGAGAAGAAGAACACAGTGCTAGATCTTTTTCTTCACCCGCACTCAATGGGATATTGTAGCCTTAGCTTTTCTCTTTTTAACCGTCCTCCGAAAACGAGGCGTCAATTTGGATCCGTTTTCAGCATTTCCACAGAGATTTCTCTTGGGGTCCTGCCTTGTTGCGTATCACCTGGTCGTGCGGCCGGTGGTTTTCCTCAAGAAGCGCAGGGCGGTTAGAGAGGAAGCGACCCCCCTAAGTTATTGGTGCCATAAATTAAGACACTCCGACAGGCGCTTTCAGTTGCCAGCATAGATAGCTTTACTTCTCGCAGAGAGAAATCGGTAATTTGGGAGATACGGGGCTTCTAAAGAGCAAGCTGATGAATTAAGAAAGAAAGAAAGAAAGAAAGAAAGAAAGAAAGAAAGAAAGAAAGAAAGAAAGAAAGAAAGAAAGAAAGAAAGAAAGAAAGAAAAGCCGCCTTCCTGGGATCGAACTGGCTCTCTTGTCTTTTTGTCCGGAATTAAGTTTTCTGAAGTCGCGCGCTTCTTCCCGGAAAGGCTTGCAAGAGCCACCAGGTGGCCTTCCGTCTCTCCCAAAAGGCGGCTCGCCTTGGCAGTGGAGCTCAGCCACGCGTGGGGCGGGTTTAGGCTCCAGCGAGGCAGCTCGCTGGCCCCAACCCACTCCGGCCCTCTCCCCCTCCCCCTCGAGCCTCGGCTTCCACCTGGCTTGCTCCCTTCTCTTCCCCTCCCCTGAAAAAGGCTCCGATTGTTGCCGACAGGACTTCCTTCCGATCATTGGGAGGCGGGCCAAGTCTAGAGCCTTGAGCTAAGGCTGGTGGATCGGGCCGTCGATGCCCGGACCTCGAGCATCGACCACTCCTATTCTTTTCATTCCTTGTGACCGTAATTACATCGCCGGGTGTGTCTGTTCTGTGCCATCGGAGAGGGTCTCAAATCCTTTCTCCGGCGGCGACTAGGGACCGTCAAAAGAGGACTGGCTGGGGAGGGGGGAGGAAGGAAGGGGGGGGGTCCGTCTCTACTGTGGGTGAAAATGCCATCTGCTGCAAAGGAGCTCGCGTTTGCTCTTTGAAGGGACCCAACTGGGGGGTGCATCTTGCGAGCTGGCTGCGAGGGCCACTATTGCTGAGCGTGAAATAGAGACCTTCCATCTCCTTCCCCTTCTCCTCCCGCCAGCCGGCCCTTCTGGTGCCCAGATGAATGAAGCTCCTTTTCGTTTCGCTGTTCTGTTTCCCCATTTCGCGTGCTGTCCGGTCCGTTCGAACCTGCTCGTTGCCCGGAACAAGAACGCTTGGACGTCTATGCCTTTCGCTCGATTTGGTAGTAAACGCACCACACGAGTGCTATTGCAATCGGAGGTGAATACTTCTGAAGCCGCCCAGGGTTCTAGGTGCGACAGGAGACTATACCTAAATAAAAATAATTAGGCATTTAGAAAGCCCGGGTCAGAAAGTCAGAAATTTGGGGAGGGAGGGCGGGGGTGAGTGGGCAGTCTAGTCTCCAACACAAGGTCTTGTGCGTGTTGATGGTGCCTTCATTTGCTTGCCCTATTCCCCATCAGTAATTTTGTCTTGACTGTTGTACAGCACACAATTTTTGTCACCCTTAGCCCAGTTAAAGCAAGTTATCGGATTTGTCATTTAGCACTCTTACCCAAAACACATTTACTAATTTTAGTGTCTCTTTGCTCCATGGATGGAGTCTAAGCCCTAATGAGTTGAGTTGAGTTCCAATATTTCACTTAATTAGAAAACAAATCCAGCTGTCAGTAACACCATTCAGCCTAAATGCTTTCCAGGCAAAATACAAACTGGAATGCTAAAATTTAATTAAGTCTGTAAAGCGAGCAGAGAATAAAGTTGCAGTACTTAATCCTAGATTAATATTAATTAACATACTCATTATATCACCAATATCATTAATAACCATTATAATATAATGCTTTTTATTCTTATTGACATGAATATGTGAAATTGAAAATGGCTCGATGCCTCATACGTTTCTGGTAAAAGGCATCTGTTTTGCGATGTGGCAGTGGTTCTACAACATGAATAGTAGCTAATTTACAATTTCACACTTTTAAAAAATATACACAGCCATTGCTTCACTTACACGTCGACTTCCAGATAAATAGACACTTGACTGCTGTTTTTGGCACTTAGGAATTTCCAGTTCTTGATATAAATTAATTTGAGGTTAACATTGAGAAGATATTGCCCGCACAGATTGATTGATTTTTATTTCTTTATTTATGAAACATTGAAGGTTTGTTGTTTCTAGCGGAAATATTCTAGCAAGGAAATCACAGCAAATTGAGAGAATTGGGAGTCGAATGGATTCGGTGAAATGAGCAATCTGGGTCTGTTGTTGTAAAGGTTTGATGAACTCCAAAGTTGCTGAGCAAGTAAGGGCGTTTTTACTGGAGATGAAACAGAATTCCAGTCTTTCTCTCTTTCACAGAGCCCAGGCGAGTGAACAAGTTCAGTGCTGGACGTGGAAGGTTTCCTATCCTAAAATTTGCAAATAAGCAATAACCCAGACAAAACATTTTTGGCCTAGTGCAATTATTTCTAACGCCTTTTAAGTTGTTTACTGATTACTATAAGTCCAAGAGAGCCACCCCCCCCCTTCCAGTTCTTTCAGTAAGGGCAGTTTATGGTGAGAAATCCTTAATTAAAGCAGAGCCAAAGAGGAGGAGACGCCGTGCCTTTAGCGCTGCCTCCTAAATCCTGCTTTTATGCTCTCGAAGTCTAGTTTTAAAACGTATCTTTCCTTCCTCTCTGCCCTCCCCCCCCCCCGGAGGTTTAAAAACAAAGGACATTTCTGCCCCACACCGCGCTTTGCAACGTGTGAAACGAACCAGCAGGTTCAACAGCCCGCCCCCTTCCGTGCATTTACCCCTCTGTCTGGCGAGCGCTTTTGCCCCACTCCCAACCTGGCGGGCAAGCAGGAGGAGGGGGCGAAGAGGAGCCTCTTGGGATTAAACCTCGATGTATACATATATATGTACACGGTGTATATATTTCCCCAATTGCTATCGTATCTTCAGCGTACTGTAGCTATTTTCCACCATTCTGTTTTTTCCCCATCCAGGAGCAGCAACTTTACAAGGTGGACGCGCGGCCCGTATATTAGATTGAGGTTAGAAGAGGTGGTGACTGTTTATTTAAGGTGATAAAATGGTCCATCAGCAGTAATCTTCATCGATACGTGCCACAAGGAGATGAAGGATGAGGGGACAAGGCACAATTAATTGCCCTATAGTTTTGTAGGAGAGAGTTGAGGCAAGACGGCCCTCGCTTCGATCTCCTCTCCCAACGCCCATTCATCATCTCCACATTGTGCACGGGGCTCCCCCGGGGGCAAGGGGTGGCAAGGTTTATCTACA